GTTAAAAAAAATCCAGAGTTATCTATACGGGATTAAAATTTCCAAAATGTTATTTAAAATAAATAAGGAAAAGAAAACGTACAGAAACGTTGGAAATCGACTCAGACTAAGGTCCTATCAATTGTTCTTCACCGATTTCTGTTGATGCTTGCCAATTCCGTTCGAGTGAAATCAATTCAATTTCAATAGAATTGAACAACAATCAATAAGGTTATATATCAGAACAGAAGTAAACAGAACAGTATCCTCTGGTTTTTATTAATCGTAACAAATTATAATTCATCTTTAAATGGAATAATGTACATACATATATATTATTTTACTTTTCAAGTTAAGTTACTTAAGAGTTAGTCATGAATCAATTTTTAAATTATGAATTTATAAATTCAACTTATTCAAATCCATTTAATTTCTTCTAATAATCAAAAATAATCAAAATAAATATGAAATTATTATTTTGGCTGATAAAATTTTCGTTTAATTAATAAATTTCACGTATCTTCAATAGCTTCAACTTAAAATAATAATGTTTTAGAACAATGAATTAAAAATTTAGCTGATTTAACAACTAGAATGTATCAAACTTTAAACAAAATTGCTGCAGATATTAACGAATTAGAAGAGAGATAGATCTGGATCACGACATTTACCAAGACACAGAAATAATTATAATCAAAATAATTTTTGTTGTATCACTAAAAATTTAAAAATAAGGCCTTCAAATGTGTTCAACCTTGCATTTTGAAATCAAATACAAATATTTCGTAAACAAATTCTTTAAACTAAAACGTTCTATTATGACGGTGGTTGATAATAACTATTCCAGATCGACATCCGCTATCTCACACTCACGAATTAAATATTGATTTAAAAGATAAAACAGTATTTTCAAAAATTAATTTAGTTCGTGCTATCATCAAATACCAGTGGCTAAGGAAGATGCATATATAATAGTGCATACATATAACAGCAATAACCACTCCTTCCGGAAAGTTTGAATTTATACACATACCTTTTTTACTTAGAAACAATGATCAATCATTTTAACGATTTATTAATAAAGTATTTTCTGGATTAGATTTCGGATTTATTTACATCAATGATATTCTTGTAGTTAACATCTGTCGATTAACAAATTATAAAAAAAAATTAGGTATGGTAAACTATTATCAAAGGTATATTAAAATGTTAGCAGCAGAATTAAGTTCTCTGCATTAAATGTTAACGTTTATAATTAAAAATAAACTAAAGGGTAATTTTTAAGCGATATAGGAAAGTTTAAAAAAACACAAATAAAATTCAGAAAAATGCATGGAATTTTTATTTGAATCGATAGTACGGTGCATATAAATTAATGTTTGAAGATTATTTCATGCAAATGCTGACCGTGACTACGCCCCAAATGGTCCATCCGCTTAGGCCAACTCTGGCCTACTCTTTCCCCTACACTTTGCCCCGCTATCTCACGAGTAAATGCTTCAATGTTGTCCTCCAATGCTTCAATTGAAGCGGGCTTGTCTGCATAGACATTAGATTTAACAAATGACCGGTCTCGAACGGGAAATAAAATGGAAGAAGCGCGCGATGAACATTCTTAACGGAGTACGCATTTTGATAATAAAATTCAATAATTTGCAAGCGTTGTTCGTTTGAGATTCATGGTTAAATTAAAGACCAAACTGAAGATGTTTGACAGTGATGCAAAACACGACACGTACGTCAGCTGTTTAAGTCAGTGTTGCCAAAAAATAAGAGCTAAAAAATCACCTTTATTCGCACAATATTGACAAAAATGGTCAATTATAAATTGCAGTATAGGCTTCAAATGTTGCTATTGGAGCTGTTTTACAACAAAAATGTAATAACACATTTGATCTAGTAGCATATTTTTCGCGAAAATTAACTCCAACTGAAATTAATTATTCAACATTCGATAGAGAATCTTGACAATATATTATATAATTCAATTAAATACTTTAAACATTTTCTCGAAGGTCGAGTTTTCACTGTTTACAGCGATCATTAACCACTTAGACATGTTGTAAATTCTAAAACAGATAGATATCCTCGTCAAATAAGACACTTAGAATATATTGCATAATTTACTAATGACATTAGATACATTTGTGGTAAAGATAATAAAATTGTCGATAATCTTCTCTCGTATCCCAGATTATTAACTTTAAAAACATTGTGGTAAAGATAATAAAATTGTCGATAATCTTCTCTCGTATCCCAGATTATTAACTTTAAAAACAAGAAATATAAATTGTAAATTTTTATGAGGAACAACAGAACGGCGAAATACTTAAAAATATTACTTCAGATCTAAATGCTAATAGTAATTAAAAAAAATTTAAATATCTATGTTTAATTCTATTTTCGGCCTAATATGCATTAAGAAATTTATATACTTAAAGTTTTTTCATTTTTTGAAATAAAATAATTTTCCTTTGCGAACAAGCAGACATTGTTTAACTTTTAATTTATAAAATAATTTTGTGCATTTTTGTATTTTAAGTCTTAAAAAAGATTAGGAAAGTGCCGGATTAAATCCAGTCTAAATGAAGATTATGCAGAGAATTAAAACGCTTATTTTCCGTAAAAAAATCTATTATTAATAAAATCACTGACTTTATCCACGGAAATATTAAATAAACACAAATTTTCAGTTTCAATTTATTTCTAAAATGTTGAAAACATTTCAGGTTTCGTATTTTACGGTTGAAAGTTACCGTTTAGTATATTTTTTATGACAAAATATAGGGGCATGTTTGTAGCTATAACTTGACTAAGCTGGCTCTATCTTATAGTTTACTTTGAATCAATGATCAATCATAGCAGTGAAATTTAATTAAAATTATCAATTAATTTAAGAAGATATTATTCGAATGCACCTGAAAAAAATACGATACGCTGTTCTAAAATGCAAACATTATAATTCATTTGGCGGTCGCGGTAGCCGAGTGGTTAGCGTTGCGTACTAACATTCCGAAGGCCCGGGTTAAGTTAAATTTTGTTGTAGTTGTTGTTGTTGTAACCGCAAAATTTTTACCCAAAGTACTTTTTGGGGAATGTTGCGGGAGTGACAGTCCTTGGCCGGATAAAAATCCGGGTCGTTCCGGTATAAAGACCCGACTGTCGCGAGAACTATTGGCTTTTAGTCGCCTCTTACGACAGGCATGCCTTACCGCGGGTAAATTCTTGAGCCCCTAACCCGCAGGGGGTAGTTAAATTTTGTAAATGCAGTCGCCCGTCGGCAGGGAATGTGCACCCATCTGAGTATATTTCGGACACGAAATTAAGGGTCCTCATAAAAACCATCAGCCGTTCGGAGGCAGCTTAGTATAAACTGTAGGTCCATCCATTTGTTGGAAAAACATCAAGACGCAAAACCACAAATTGGAGGAGGAGCTTGGCCGAGAAATCGCTTCAGCGGATACAAAGCGCACATCAATAATTAATTTTTAACCATTACTCCAGAGCTGAGTAGAAATCAGACCTCCCGAAACTTATAAATACTTTTAAATTTCGCATGTAGAACATCGTAAAATTTGCATTATATTTTCGCAAATTTAAATAAATTAGTAATGATAACAAATCTATTAAAATTGAATATGGTATCATGTAGTGCATTTATTTAATAACATTCATTCAATATTTTCTATTTTCATTGCACTTTTTTTCAATTCCTGAAATGAATTTTTTAACGGCCAGTTAAATAATATTTAGTCTTGAATTAATCTTGAAATTTATTTTTATCATAACATTATTTACGCAATACTAACCATCAGCCGTTCGAAGGCGGCTTAGTATAAACTGTAGGTCCCTTCATTTGTTGGAAAAACATCAAGAGGCAAAACCACAAATTGGAGGAGGAGCTCGGCCGAAAAAATCGCTTCAGCTGTTACATAGCGCCAATTATATATGGAAGAATTTAAACTTTTAATGCATTTCATGGAATAAATTAATAGGCAGTGGTGGCTTTCAGGTTCTTAATTTTTTTGGAAAAACATCACATCGCACACCACTAATGAAGGAGGAGCTTGGCCACAAATCGGATGGAGAAGTTTCGGGGGAATATCATAAAGAATAAATATCATGCATTTACGAGCGTGATGTTAGTTATTGAGTCATGAGTTTCGCGTCATTTTGTTTAGCGAAACTTATAAATACTTTTAAATTTCGCATGTAGAACATCGTAAAATTTGCATTATATTTTCGCAAATTTAAATAAATTAGTAATGATAACAAATCTATTAAAATTGAATATGGTATCATGTAGTGCATTTATTTAATAACATTCTTTCAATATTTTCTGAGAAAAACATTATTGAAAAAAACATTGCACTTTTTTTCAATTTCTGAAATGAATTTTTTAACGGCCAGTTAAATAATATTTAAATAATAAAATTTAATGCTTTCTGAATTAACAACAAAATACTGAATTTGCAGAAGAAAATAATAATTGTTTGCAACCATTTGTACATATATGAATGACACGAAAAGAGACATTATTGTTGTTGTTGTTATAGCAGTTCGTTACACCTCATTTAGAACGCAGGTAAAGCTAATTAACATCAACGAAGACCTACATATTTAACAGGAGCGTAGAAAAATTTCGTTTCCTGGAACTCCCGTTGGATGTCCTCAACGTCTTAGCCCTAAGCAGTTGGACTAACCGTTAGAACAACAACAACCACAGGAATTAGACAAGTTTTGGTTCAAAGATGCAAAGAGGTGTTTAGTGTCAGACTTGATGAGAACACATACGTATGTTGGGTATGATGAGCGCAGGATATTATCAAGAGGCACATTTACACTTCCAAAGTGATTATATTTTTACTTTATAATTATTATAATGAAGCTAAAATTAAAAGAGGCATGTTCAATTTATTTCTCTTGATTTAATTAATATATTTTCATCATCTTATTATTAATCATAAATTAAGTAACTGTATCGATAATTGATATTGCCTTGGTAATAGACAGAAACTTACTTTTTGCATAAAATAATGGAACGCATTCGCAGAGGCTCAGTCGGAATATGTAGTTCGATATAAAATGCAGTTAGCTTTTACTTTCTTTATTAAGAATTCGTGTAGTTATGCAGTTGAAAAATTATTCACACATTGCTTCCACGAATGTAAACACCATTGATAACAAATTAATTATTGGCCATTGGCATGATTTAAAAAAAAGTCAAGTACAGTTGGGTAGATTATATTCTATGTTATACTTTAACTACTTTTTTCAATTTGGCGGTAAGTTCACAATTAGATTGGCGTAGCAATATCATTAGCACTGTATAAGTAAATATGCCCATTTATATAAGCCGACACACATATTCAATTTATTCTATTTATACACATACATAAGTAGAAAGAATGAAAACGAAGTGTTATTTTAAGACAGAAAGACGTAAGAAGTCACGTTCACTTCTATCAATAGTAAAACTAGCACGCGTGAGAATCTTCAGATTCCTTGTTACCCTCACAACTCCAATACGCGATATATTTTCTTTTTTAACAAAAACATTCAATCACACTTTAAACGCTTAGTTTACAATATCACATATTTTATACAATATTTTATTGAATTGTTTTAAAGTTCAAGGTGTCAGTATGAATTCTTTTATATTTATTTATATGCTTAAAAGAGAAATTTATAATTTTCGCGAAGGAATTGCGGGTAGTTGTGAAACGTAGCGCAAAATACGAAATGAGCCACCTGAACGCACTCTCGTGTTGTGGTTGACTGGAGATTTTTGCCCCAATAGCTGGTTATCGACGGTAGTTTTGGTTGTCTTGTTTCACCGACAAGCACATACTCAAGATATCGTGTTTTATTTTTAAAATTTGCTCTTGCTTGGCTCTCACCGGCGTACTGAGATGGTGCTCAACATCCAAACAGAGCAACAAGTAAACAAAAAATCGCAATAAACGATTCAAAACGATCTGTATTAGAAACTCGGACGTCAGCAAACGAAATATATGGTTGGCGCGAATTTTATAGGCAGCTCACATGATCTATCCAGTCATTAAACTGTACACAAACGAACCGACCAACATAGCTATTAAGTGGCTCACTGGTAGACCAATTGACTCCCAAACACAACGCTTGATTTGAGACAAGTACAATTGCAATGTGAGTGAATATAATTATTCATGCATAGTACCTGTGCATACACAGTGCAAACATTCATATATGTGTGTACATATGTACATATGTATGCATGTTCATGCATATACATATGTATATGCATACAATGAAACATCTGAAGTTATAACCTCATGTGTAAAGTTATTTGTATTAGTAAGTGTTAAGTTATCCTAAGAGTATACCATAAATTAGATTAACATATTGTGACTTCCATCTCGCACATTCGCAATCGACGTTCTTATTTGCTTTTAATTGATTTTCTGTTTGATTCATAAATCCTAACATCTGTGTTGTTGTTTTTTGTTAGCGGTTTCATTTGACCTTAGAATGTGATTGGAACTGCGACATAGCATCACTTGCTTTTCATTGTGAATATCATATAAGTAAAAAGCTCTCCCTTGTGGGCTATTGGTTCAAAAGATTTCGGTACATTCTAGTTGTCTAAGTCTGTGGCAATAATAATCGCAATAAAGTAGTGTTCATAATAATAATAGTCCTCCGATTAAAGCCTGCCAGTTTTTTGTAGCATTCAACAAAAAACAACCATAATTAATATTGAATAATTATATAATATATATATATACTAGCGGTACCCTGCAACGCTTCGCTGTCACACATACTCATTGAATGTATGGAAAATTAATCTTGAAATTTATTTTTATCATAACATTATTTACGCAATACTAACCATCAGTCGTTCGAAGGCGGCTTAGTATAAACTGTAGGTCCCTTCATTTGTTGGAAAAACATCAAGAGGCAAAACCACAAATTGGAGGAGGAGCTCGGCCGAAAAAATCGCTTCAGCGGTTACAAAGCGCCAATTATATATTGAAGAATTTAAACTTTTAATGAATTTTCTTGTTTAAACATTGTCATGGAATAAATTAATAGGCAGTGGTGGCTTTCACATCGCACACCACTAATGGAGTAGGAACATGGCCGCAAGACGGATGGAGAAGTTTCGGCGGAATATCATAAAGAATAAATATCATGCATTTACGAGCGTGATATTAGTTATTGAGTCATGAGTTTCGCGTCATTTTGTTTAGCGAAGTTAACCAAACAATAACAAATTGGCGGTTGATTAGTGTAAAATGCTACAATACCAATTGAAATTGATGTGTTATTTTGTTGATTTAAGTCTTCCGAAAACTAAAGAACTAAAGCTGTCAATTGGGCACTATGTCAACGGTTATATTTGGTATTCTGGTTTTTACTTTAATGAGTAATTGCAGTTATAAGTATACTTAAGTTTAGAATGATTTTGCATCACAGGCACACATAAAAAATTTAAAAGCACTTTGAGTAATAGTTTCGAAGAGTAAAGTGTAAGCAGAATTATTTAAACAAATAGCAGCTGACAAACCGGGTTTCGTGCTGTTTTCGATAAGTATTAAAGAACATCTGCGCCTTATGCTATATTCCAGGGAAAATATTGCATACCATGCATTTTCCTAACTAAGCGAATACTCGTTTTATTTCTCGTAGGAAAACTAGTTCAATAAAATCAGGGCACATTGTAAGATTTAATAAAGAATTTGACCTAAGTCGAGAAATTTCGCATTGCTCTGTTTTCAACTACAGCTTTCATCTTTAATTTCTTAAGTAATTTTGATCAGAAAAAATAAGATAAATAAATAAAAATAAATGTACCATGGTTACCATGGATCAAAAATTGACATTAAAAATTTAGAAATTTTTTTTGTTATTATTATATACACACATATATTATTGTTTTGGTAACGGCATATTTTATTTATGTATTAAAAAATAATGTACATCCCTATACCTGCTTTCGCAACTTATATATATACATCAAAATAATAAAAAAATAGCTTTGCTTACAAAATTTCTTACTAAAAATGCCAAATTATCAATTAGTCAGTTTGCTGTGAGTATAACAGTACCTATTTTTCTGGGTGAGTTTTGGGGACATGATATGTAGATAGGAAAAACTGCTACGATACGCCTTGGATGACAGATATGGTGCAGCTGCTAACTCTACATAAATAGTATTTTTGAGCACATAAAACTTGTCGTAAAAAATTTCTGATATTTATTCAATGGAAATGACGCGATGGCTTAAAAGTTAAGCCGTCAAATAAATCAAATGACAGTTGATGATAAGGCTGCGATGATAATATTTCGGCAAGGGAAAAAACTCTCAACAATGGACTTTTTCAGTTTATAGTTGCCATTTCTGTCTTAACACAATCAACAACTTTTAAGTTTAAACAACTTTTCGAAAAACGAAATAGAAAGCGGATTTAAATTTCATTATTTTGACAATCAAACCAAAAATCGTGTCGTTTATAATTGATTGCTCACACAGATGCGTTCGTAACAGAAATTAGATAGGCGTTTTACTCATATGACATTAAAACTGTAGCACGTGGTAAACCATCCACATGTCATTGTTCAGCCTCATCAAATTGCACTTACATAAATAAAAAATATAAATAAACACATTCACACGAATAGTCACACTTTACATTTAACAGACCACCAATAATTTATGAAGTGTTAAATTTTTGTTTGAGTGCTATAAAATCCTATTCATATACATAAATACATACATACATAAATAGTCATATGCATGCTTAATCGTTTTTGCTATTGATGGGGCAGACTTCTCGGCGGCAATATTCAACACACCTGTGAATGAGCTATTTTATCATATGATCACATGTACGTGTATGTTGATCGTACGTTTCCAGTATTGGAAAATAAAAAAAAAATCAATCACAATCAATCATGACTTTTCAAGTGAAAGACAAAACAAAAATTGAAAAATTTTCGAAAAAAGGAAAAACTTGAAATTGGTTGCCAGAGATTGAACTTTATCAAATAATTTGAGATTCCGAGAAAAGTGTTAATCTGTTTGTTCATCAAAGGCATTCTATTAAAAAAATAATAATTCAATTGCTATGACTTGCAGAAATCTTTAGTAATTTTATTCTTTAAATTAAAAAAAAGCTTTTGAAATGTATGGAAAAAGTTATCCAAAAGGAATACAAAATGTATTACGTTATTAATTCCTAGCATATTTGTTAATACATGGAGTATAAGCTCTTTGTTAGAAATTGGTTTCTTCTCCATTCCACTTTGATAAGGAGCTCAAGTTATTAAGTATGTTGTTTCTCTGTTTATTTTTTTCTTCTCTGCTCTTTCAAAATATGGGCATTAACTTTATCTTAATCTACAAGCTTAAGTGGACACCATTTAAAATTGGTTAAGTTTTACGTTTGATTGTTAGTAATTATTATATTAACATTTTCATGTCAGAAATACCTGTATATGTACATCGAGATGGCCAGAGAATCAGCTATTAAAACAACATTTTTTCTGATCCATTTTTTATTATTTTTAAAATGATTATGATTCATACATACATATGTACATTTCCATAGTAAATTTTTTGTAAACAAAATTTAACGCTACCCAAATCTAAAATATTTATAGCTAATTCTGTATATTCTTATCACATGTTATTCTTGTTATACTCGTGAGCTGCACTAATGCGAATCATGTGTCAGACGTCTTGAAATAAGCGAATGTATTACATATAAATAAACATTTAAGAATGTGCAGTCATGTGGGCGTTAATTAGAACATTTAGCAAATGCTATGAAGGATATCTAAATTATGTTAATATGAAACTGTGAACTTTATAATTAAAACTGAAGGATCCCAACTACTCAGAATCTATGGGATTTAAAGTGAAGATATTAATATAAATATGTATGTATTTAAATCATAATTTCATTGAAAATATTTATTATTTCTGTCTATGGACCATCTGTAGCGCTGCATGGGATTTTGAGCATTTCTCCAGCAAACGTGGTAGCTTCCCGGCCTCCCAAAGTCAGGACTTTCGGGCATAGTAGTAAATCATTACCCCTGATTACCCCTGAGAGTACGAGAAAACTACGTAATTCAAGGCTTGAATTTCAGGAAACTGTTTTCAGCTACAATAGTCACAAATGGCTGGAACAAAGGCCTGAATTATGCATCATGTCTTTATTGATGGTTCTAAAGTGAACGAAGGAGCGGGGCTTCAGTTTGCTGTATCCGACTAGAGATAAGGAAGTGGTATAAGTTACCAACTTAAGCAGTCTCTTCAAGCCGAAATATTTGCTATGAAAATGCTTTGAATAGAAAAGAATATGTAGATAGCCAAGGTAATTTCCTTTCATACAGCCCGAAGTCAGCTGGGGTCGCATTATGTAAAAAAGCGATTAAAATACTGTCTGAAAACAGAAGAGTGTATATTAGCTGGGTACCCGGCCACGCGGGAAATTAAGATAATGAAAGATATGACGAACTTGCTAAGAAGGGTATCCACTAAGCAGGACGATGCATCGTGCATTCCAGTGTCAATGAAGGAAGTGACGGACAAATTCTTTGTCCACAAGTTATTAGCCGAATAAGACGAAAATCCCATTTCCTCTCCCTTAAAAATAGTTAGGACTATGCTATATAGTGTTTGACTATTACAATAGTATATCGGATAGTACTAAGGTTCAAGTATTCTCAAATGTGGCTATCAAAGTTACCACTTCTTTTTGTAAATGTCTCACATTTAACTGTATTAAACAAATAAATTGTTTAATATTAAAAGTCACAGCACTCTGGGAAAGCTAAACCTAAAAATAGCCATTTTTAAAAAATTCGAAATATTTTCGCATTTAAAATTTCAAAAGGGAAAGTGTAAATAACATTTAGTGAAAAGTTACCAATCTTATAAAAACAGTTCATATTTACCGAAATGCCTAAAAGAAGTGAAATTAGTTACAATGATAGAGTTAGAATTAAAGATCTAAGTGAAAGAGAA